TCTGTTGACAAAGTCCGAATTTGCTTCCAGAATAAACGATGCAACTTAATTAAAAAGCATAGCTTTTCATATAGTCATATGCTGGAATTAATTTCATATCATCCAAAGCGTCAGACGTTCCATTATTGTTTTTAATTCGACGTCCTGTATCAAGGTAGCACTGAAATTAACTGGGTGATGCAAATAAAATAGCTCACTGGTCCGAGAGGCCCTTTTGGTTGAATGTTTTGGTTGTTTTAGCTGTTATTCCATGACTGTGTCGCACACAAACACACACACACACACACGACCAAGAGAGAGAGAGAGAGAGAGAGGGAGAAATGGAAGGAAAAAACTGATAGCTAGATCGCTGCCACGGAAAGAATAATATCATAGATTTGATTTAACTGAGCAATACAAATATAATATCGCAATGTTGTTATAGACCTTCATGAACTCTGGTTGAATGTTTTTGGCTGCCTGTCACTATCTCGCCCCCATCCAGCAGTTTAAGTAGCGCACACACACCTCAAACACATGAGAGAGAGAGAGAGAGAGAGAGAGAGAGAGAGACTGAATTTCATCTGATTCCTTTTTCGTTATAACTAGGTAAATTCGCCGGCTAACATTGCAATCCATATTGACATTCATAAAGTTGGCCAGAGTTTCCTTTACCACTTTACCTCAATACTAATATTTGTCAAGCTACGGGTGTTTTAATGGAAGTCCCGATATGTAAGTTTTCTGGGTCAAATGTCAAAGAACACGTTTCATGCTGAACGAAAGAAGCCGATGAAAAACCCGCAAACGGCGTATGATGGTAAACGGGGCATCGATATTCAAATAAGAACCATCGTGATTGGATGGTTTGCCGTGTGCCTCGTTTTTCACGAGATACACTGATGTACCGGTGCTGGCAGTATGTTAATAACCTTAATAACCAGAGGCGAGGAGACGTGTCATTCCCTCACCTGACTTCAACGAGGAAAATCGAGGTAAGTTTTATGTTAACTTTGAAATGTTTTGATCGGTGCAATTCTGCAACTTTAAGGTGATCCCCTGCACACATCGATTGTTGGTAATGAAACAGTGAAATATCTCTTGGTGGTTCTGGTGGAGGGTAGTGCTTCCTCTCAAATATGTGTTGTTCATGCTTGGCCAGGAATCCAATGAACATAAATACCATCAAAGAGTGATTAATACAGGAGATGGTAATCTTGGTTCAAACAACCGCCTTTTGAATTAAAAAGAAGAATAATGGCATTTTCCATTTATTGAAACTATTTCGTAGACAATCAAATATAGAGCAAATCTTATTTCAATTGATTTCATCATACATTTATCGCTATAGACTATAAAGCATATTGATTTGAAAGTCCTTGCCATTCTACGGGCGTGTTAATGGACGCTCGTCGGTCCTACAGGTACAGGGGTATGGTCTCTGTGACAATTGGATTATGTACACTTCTGCTAAACGAAAATCAGTGGAAATTTACACAACCTGCAAATGACTTGCAAAGTTGTTTTTTTAAAATATTCGGGCATTTTAATACCTTAAAAGATTAGCACTATCGCGAATTGAATGGTTATCATATGTGTCATGCTTACCATTATTTCATCATACATTTATCGCTACTGCCTATCAAGCAAATTGGATTATATATTGTCAAGCTACGGGCGTGTTAATAGACTAATGGATTATATGCATTTCTGCTAGACGAAAAACAGCGGAATCCGCAACTGAATAGTAAAGTTGATTTAACAATATTCAGGCATTTTAATATCTTAAAAGATACGCACTATCGTGAATTAAAGGGTTCTCATATGTGACATGATCACCACAAGGTACACTGTAACAGTGGCGATGCATGAAACATATGTTTGTGACCAAAGTGAAAGAATAAATTTCCTTACTTTTTGTCCTGAACATTTTCAATATGGCTGTTAATTTATGAGGAAAAACAGAAAAACGACGAGATCGTCGGGTATACTTAATTAAGAGCATTTTTGAATGTTTATCCTATCAGGAAAGCACAGCAAGACTAGTGAATAAACTTGAGTGCATAACATTTAGCAAAAAAAAAAAAAGCCAAAATAATCGTCCAAAAAGCTGCAATATAAGTTCGTTTTTTTCATATTTAGTCTTATTAAAAGCATATCCGCCTTTTCTCTTATGTTGATTGTGATAATTTGTTGGCAGACGATGTCATCTCCTGGTATTCCATTTACCACTCCCGCGAGTCCCATAGTCAAAGCCTGCTATGTTACCCGGGTATATCTTGCAAGCTTTTTTAAAAGAAACTATTTTATCTGGGCTACAATACTTAGAAAAACTATTAAGCTTGATTTTCTTTGCCAGTTGATACGTACGGGAAATTGATAATTTTTCAAAATTCAAAATGGCTGTCAATTTGTTATATGACTAGCAAGAGCCATATATTCAAATAAAATTGAATGCTGAAATCCATTGTTCATCATTGCATATTTATCTATTCATCCATGCAAATTGCGATCATTTATTTCATTTCTGCAAGTCATTTTAATAAAAAATGGCATCCAAAACATAATGGAAAGGGCAAAAGCACTACAAGTCTTTTAATTGAAATAGACCATAAATAAAACAAATATAAATTTATATAAAGCAAAAAAAAAATATATATATATATATATACCTGCGGTCCAGCACACAATAAAACATATTCTTCCTGACGGCTGGTCTTTCATTCTAAATCAAAAGTTTCATAGTGAATGATTATGGTAGGCATTATCATCCTAGTATATGCAAAATATATCATCTTGAAATAAAAAAAGGCGTCAAATCGTTTTTCTTAGGGTTTGATTATTCTAACCCCTTTTTTTTAAACGCTTTACTATTTTTAACAAATATGGTTAAAGTCATTTTTGTTGAATTATTATGAATTTTATTATAAAAAAATCAAGGCCGAGGGAGCGACATAAAAAGCCAGCGGTTGGGGCCCATGAGGTCAGCTATTCTTGACAACGTGACATAGTTCAGGGATATGCGATGGTTATACCCATCGACATCATGTATTTGAAATGTTGTTTTTGCTAACATATACTTACAGTCAATGGAAGCTTTGAGATAGGAATGTATGCATATTTCTTCTTGTAGGGGAGTTATAATTATTCATTGTGGATTTATTGATGGCTTAGTGCTCGGGTAGTTGAGATAATGATGAGTTGGCATGGTTCATGCACATTGGTTTTAGCTTTTTGCAAAAGTGGACCAAATACACATTGATCAATACACATTGGGCATCTCCACATTTTAAGGATTGACTTTGGAGGCCTATAAAGGGCCAAAAAGGCCACCATTGTTGTTAGTCCAGTGAACAGAAGTATGCCCTGTCTGTCATGTGAACAACGTACGTCTCTGGGCACTGATTGTGAGGGGAGTCGGAACTGAGCTAAAGTGTATGGGCTGCTCCCAACCTACAATCAGGAACCTGGTTGAATGCCACAACATGCCAGGCTCTGTTGGCGATGGACCGCAGCCAGGACGTGTTAGTGTCAACCCCAGACCAGGATCGCTACATTAGGTTGCATCATCTGCGAGACCGAGTTCGCCATGCCAGTCGTACAACACAAGAAGCACCAGGCAGGAACAACTATCGGAGCAGCAGCCCCACTGTGCGTCGACGCTTGCTGTAGGTCAACCGTTAATTGTTGTTGATGGAAACATGACAATAACTGCTCGTCACTACACAGATCATATTCTGCAACCTCACATGACCTCGTTCGTGCAGCAGCAACCTGATGTCTCCCTTTCCCAACAGGACAAGACCCGTCCACATTCGGCACAAATGATCCAAGCGTATCTGGAGACCCAAGGGTGGATGTCCTACCCCAGCCTGCCTATTCTCTGGGTATGAATCCGATTGAACACTTGTGGTACTATCTTTGTCGTCCGTTGGCCAAGGCAGCAGCTGATCCAGGCACTACGGCAAGACTGAAATAGGATTCTGCATGACATCATCCCATTTATTGCCCGAGCAACGGATCACCGCCTGCATCAAAGCAAGCAGAGGTCATACCAGCTATTGACTGTTGTGACTTTGTGTTGGGCTGATGTCTTTGTTGTTTTGAAATTATTCATGACACTTTAGATTTGTTTCTGTATGCCTGTTTTTTGTTACTGTATGTCGGGACATGTTTTAAATAAAACTAAATATGCAAAAAACAAAATGATTTTGCAGCTTTTATCACTTTCTGCCATTTTTGACGGCCATTTTGGCATTTTTGCTAAATGTTACGAGCTCAAGTTTGTTCACTAGTACTGTTGTGCTCCCCTGATTGAATAAAAGTTCAAAGAAACTCTCAATGAAGTATACCCGGCGACTTCTGGGAGTTCTTCTATATTTCCTCATAAATTGACGGCCATTTTGAAAAATGCTCAATGTGTTGGAAATAACAACCAAGGTATTTTTGCTTCTCTCGGCCTGAATAATGCATTTCAGCAAAAAAAAGTTTACAGAAAAAAACATTGCAGGGTTCGACTATTAGGCCTATGGGAGTTGCCATTAGACCATTGTGTAGGAAGTGAAAAGTTAAATCTTATGATTATTATCATAATACTGCATTGACTAGCTAACATTTAAAATGTTTAATTTTGAAAAATGTTATGTGATAGAATATGATTTTATAAAATGTGCATCGGTGTAATTTTATGTTTGATGAAATACTATTCTATATAAGAATTGTTCTTCAAGTGAAACGTTTCCATCAAAGAGAAAGGTTCTGATCGAGAAGCCCCGCGATCCCTTGGCAGAGTTTCAGTTTCATAGTTTCTGTCACGTTAATGGAATGACTACATTAGCCACCATGCTGAGTAAGATGTTATCATAACCAGCACCCAAACCTGCTACCATGTTCAATTGCAATGGATACACTGTAAAAACGATGTTTTCGAAAATGCAAGCCCAATTTAATTTAAAGATTGTCATGCACGTATGATGAAATTTTACCACTATCTTCTTCTGAATATCTTATTTTATTCCAGCGTAGAATTGCTATAAAAGAGTACTGTATCTAACATCAATCAATCAATGATGGGATTGTTGTTCTGCCCGAGCCTTGTACTGGCCTTGATGGCGAGCGTCTTTCTCAGTCAAAATCAGCTGAGTCAAACTTGTAAGTGTATAGAGACCATCTCGACATCCATGTACACATACAATAGCATGTTTGCAATTCTGAGATACGGTATCAATTTTCGTCTCTGCAATTTGGTCTCAACATTGCTTGTTTGCAATAATTATATGCCTAGTTTTTATAGATCTTTTAAATTCTAAGTCATTCCCATCTCCCCACGGAGAAAGCAATCCAAGCTGCGGTATATGAGCCTCTCGTGGTTAGGATTTACAATAACCAACACTACCATATGACCAGGTCTTTTCCTTAGTTCAATCTCAATATGCTGAGTAATAAACGAGGAGGCAGTAGGTACTATTATAATGCTCTTTAGTATGACCAGGCCATGAGGATCAAACTCATGACTTCCTGCACCACAAAGGAGACCTCTCTGTAGATGGACTTTTAAATCATTCAGACTAGGCGTACAAGCCTAGCGGTGTGAAAAACGATATGATTTGCATGATCTTCCTGTTAAATAGTTTGAATTACAAAAGTTTCAACCATGTTAGTGAAGGATGATAGAGCATACCTAACATTTAAATTGCCTTGTAACATCTATCTTCAGACGAATGCGAGCCTGACAGTTGCTATAATAATGGGACGTGCGAAGAAAAAGTTGATGATCCGTCTGGCTTCCAGTGCAGTTGTCCCAGTGACTTTTTCGGAGAAAGATGCGACTTGAGTAAGCACTGCCCTTGTAACACTTAAAACCATCCTTTGTGAATAACAGGAAACAGTTATGTTCAGCAAAATGTTAGGAAGCATTTTACTATTGCAACAATTGATATCAGCATATATGCTCATTTAATACAATTTATCCATTAACAGCGTGTCTTCCCTGCTTAATTTATTAATTAATTAATTTATTATTTTTAAATTTTTTTTGTGAATTGAACAGTATGTCATCATTGTTTGATTCGTCGATCGCGCGGGGTGGTCCATTATTAATGCAGAATTGACAGCGTCTAGTCTCAGTGCTTTTAATTCTGAAAAGAAAAAAAAAAGCTGAGCACATATATAAGTACGCAATAAAGCGTCTGGTGCAAATTATGTACAAAATTAATTTCACAGATTTCAGTGGGATTTACCTTATCCTGTCTTAGTTAATGCTCAAATTATAAGAACTGAATTATTCCAACTGAAAGAGCATACGTATCATTTTATTAGCCTTGCAATATCTCATTTCAGCTGAGTGCCGGTTAAATAAATGCTGGAATGGTGCAACGTGTGCATTGAATACTACAAATTTGGTTTCGTCGTGCATTTGTCCCGAGGGTTATTACGGAACATGGTGCAAAAAAGGTAAGCCGTACCCTTCTAATATGCATACATTCTGTATCTCAGTATTGACTGATAACAGCTAACAGCTGTAAGTTGTAAAGCGTGCAGCAAAAATACAAATACAAATACAAAATTCAAAGCAAATTGACCAATACAAATATTGATAGTACAGGATATGTAAGAGTAACTTCTATAGACTGATATCAAGGCATATGGCTCTAGATCTCTGCTGATTAACTATAATATAACTAGCATATTCAAGTGATTAGGTGGAACTCATAAAAACAGGTCCTATGGCTCTAGATCTCTATTTATACACTATAACACAAATAACTTATTCCAGTGTTTAGGTAGAACTTATGTGAAAAAGTCATATGATATCGCCTGTTAAGTTGGTTCAAAATTTCCAAGTATTCTGTTGCGAGCCAGTGGCTGCATGCGGTTTTTTTTTCAGCGAAGTGTGCGGAAAACGCCACATGCTATGACATAAACGCTTACAAGCCATTGCCTGACAACAATACGAACTGCGATACAGCATCTTACCAATATTGTATTTGCGACGCTGGTTACCGTGGGGACGGGTTGCACTGCAAGAGTAGGTCTTATACTGTATAACAATTGGATTATTGAATATTCTTGAACGCTTCTTTTTTAATTACTTTTTTTCGTCTTCACTTCCTACTACAAGGCAGACCAGAAATCAACGCTTAAGACCATACCAGGGGTCATATAAATCGGTGGTTGAAAAAATAAATAATATAAATATAAATAATAAATTGAGCAATTTGACGTCAGATAATGCCTATATAAATGGAATCTAATAAAAATTGGGTAAAGGACAATGTACATTACATTAAGATATGTACATAACATATGCAAGGTTTACATAAGTCTCTTCATATATGCTTATTATTATTATTATATGCGTTATTCAATACGCATGGCAATATGTGAAAGTATTTAAGACGTCAAAAGTTCCGAGGAGTTCTGAAAGGTCATTATTTCTAACATAATTATGATCAATTTCATTTTATCATTTCTATTAAAATCATTTTATTAAAATATTAACACTGGAGAAATTTGTTTGTGCATGAATAAATCATCAAAAGTGCTCTAATATGAAACGGGGCCAAGGTGTTAATAACATATATTTCTTTTCTTTCAGAATCGACGAAATAAACACCCAGAAAAGGAAATAAGAAAAATATATGCAAGAGAGGATACGGATTATTTCCAAGTATATAATGCATATTTATTTGGACATTCACTGCAAATTATATTTGAATTAAGTATACCAACTGAAAATAAAATATTCTGGGCATTGTATTTCGTTAATCAATTAATTACCTCCATGACAGCCTCCTTGGCCAATGTCACAATCTACAAACTCAGTAAGATTGCATCATATCCAAATTGTGGTACAAGTGCAGTTGTGAGCAAACCCTTGACACACCGACCTTATAACACCTTTCGTGATTTTTGGGTTCAAGGTCATTGACCCTTTCCCGCAATGGCGAAGAATCGTTTTTAAAACCTATCAATGCAGATGGTTATCCTGATCAGAATGAAAATTCAAGGAGGCCCATTCCTGCCCTTTCCTGAAAAATCCATCAAAATTCGCTTCTTATTACAAAACTGTGTAAGTATATGCAGCCACTAGTTCAAATCACCTGGCTGTGTTGGTATACTGTTGCTGTTTTGCTTTACCATGTCAATGTTTGGAACAAAGTGGACACCCCAACCGCTGGAAACTGGGTTGCTACAAGCCTGGGAAACTCTTGGGAATTTCATTAAAACGAAAAGCTTCTTCGTTAATTTAATCTTACGAACTTTATATCTGCGGCATAATACAACACACTTATCTCCGCTCCTTAATTCTCGTAATTGTTGTCCCAATTGTGTTGGAAACATATATAATGCTCGGTCGGGAAAACAGCGTGTTTCTTCATGTCAATACAAACGGAAGACAAAATTAAAACAAAAATTGTTTTAACAATTTAAAAATAAGTTAAAGACAGTTAGCTTTTAATTAAAGTTTCATTTTGCGTCGAAGCCAGTACCTTGTGATCAATGTCAGCGTCTCGAATCACCTGAAGAATTTCCAAAACGGGTGGCATATATTTCACCGGAAGTTTCTGTTTCAATTCTAAAATTTCCGTTTTCCTCACTGGACACGAGCACAGAAGAAAGTGGCCCAAATATCCATTAGTCGACACGTTGTGTCCAGTATGTCTTCAACAGTGTCGTGCAGCCATGAGATCTTGACCTACAATAAAAGGTCAAAGATCAGATCTGAATGCATGACCCTTTTCCAGCCAAATTTTGGCCATGTTGTCCAGTTTCTGTAATTGGTTTATAAATAATTAGGTAAACATTTGTCACTTGAAATAAGCAAAATATAGTCAGGCAATGCAGATGCTGTAATGTTCAATGTTACAAAAGGGACTGCCATTCAGATTCAAATTGGTAAACATTCGGAAAACAATGACCAAAGTGCTGAAAAATTATTGCCAGGTCTCTGCACAAAAACAATTTGAGTTGACCCTTAGTGAAAGAAATGCTTCAACAGATTATTTTCCTCAACATATTATTCCATATGTAACAGGTTTACTTTTTTTTTCACCTCCTAACTGAAAACCAACGTCGCAATTTCCATTCGATTGCGACTCCGCCATACCATGCATCTCACCTACAGCAATCAGGGCACTTGTTGTGGGAAAGTTTTGTCAAATTTCTTTATCGCCTGAACTAGAGTAATTGCCGGGTCATTTTGTAAATAAAACAATTTGGTCAAATATTTGGGCAGAAATTTCTTTCCTTTCAGTTTCAATAATACATCATGCATTATTTAGTTTTTGTTTCAATTATTAAAGCTCGAACACAGTGCGATCATCAGAAGACAAGTGTCGCATTTATATATATTGTTTTCCATCATTACCCCCTGCTCCTTTACCCTTGGCGTGTCCCGATAACAATCATTTAACCATGATGTCACAACATTCCGTAATCTACTTATGACGACAACATCACATCTGAACGTTTTTGGAGTAATGGTGCGTTATGAATGTCTCACAGTTGACATATTTACACACGATGCAACAAAAACTTACCTCTTTCGTTCTGTTCAACAAGCTGACGACTTCGACTTCGTTGTCGTTGGAATGACACGCCGTGGCTAGACCGTGAGTACATTGCAATGTCTCCTTCATGCACTTCAACTTGGCAGTCAGCCCGCACCAAATCTCGGTTATTATTTCCAGTTTGTAATATCTAATAACGGTAGAGAAAAAAGATAAGTAAGCATCAGGTATTGCATTACACTGACATAAATCTTATCCATAGGTTTTATAACATATAAATACAACATGTAATACCTGTAGTTCACAAAGGTTAACAAAGTGTTAAAATGGTACATGTATGAGATGCCGTGCTACCAACGCTATTGAAAAAAATTGTCATTGATTTTCGAATCAAACATGCACCAATTTCCGATTTTGATTAAATAGGAAAGCTATCTAACTTAGACTGAAAATATAATTTAAGGATGTAACTGTATATAGCACTTCAACACAGGAAGAAGGACAATCAATCACCTCGTTCTAAACGGCAGCATTGTTTTTTCCTTTCTCCCCTCCTTCTATCATCTTCTGCATGGGTCTGAGCTAACTTTCCTGAAGTTGGGTGGCTACGCCTCTTAACAGGTTGGCATTCCTGGTCAGATTCTTGGACACCGTTTGTTGGGTGTAGGTTGCTTGTTGCTGTTTTCTTTTCGGTGTACGACATGATATTTGGAGTCTGTTGCTAAGTGATTTCTTCATCTATTACTGTGTGTGCCTTCGATTCTAACAAACGATTTTCTGCTTGGAGCTATGGCTTGACATGCTACCACTTTCAAATAGATGCGTCGTCGTCGTCGTCTCTCTCTCTCTCTCTCTCTCTCTCCACTATTTTGTGTTGACCAGCTCATCATCGTTTCACAATTGCTGTATAAAAACATTGGCTAAATAATGTATTAATCAAACAGTGTGGAAAAGTAAAACAATGCTTGAAAATGAAATGATTGTAGCTACCAGAATTTTATCAAAAATGTATATTTAGTTAGGGTATGGAAATTGACAATGCGCTACGGTTAATGGATTATATTCCATGTTATTTTTAATATTTCAATAACAAGTATCACATTGCCTAATCCCTACAGTGTTCACAACAGACTGCAATAAGGGGTCTATTTTAAGAGCAATTGCAGCATGTTATCTACGTAATTGTAGTTACAACCAGTTTGTGTGTCAGGTACCACTTTATTTCTGTATGTTCGGACGTCTCACGAGGTCTGTGGTACATAGCAAACAGCGCATCTAGCCGAGTTATAGTGTCAAATTAGTTTACACGTTTATCACATTGGTGATTCTGCTCTTTTCTGCCAGGGAAACAGCGATGTCAATGTGAAATATCAACATTTAACGTTCATCATTTTATTGTAAGGAGGAACTTTTTATATGACTTACATGAATATGCCATTTTCTTAACATTCAAAACTGCACTACTAAAGTTAATCCGAAAATGATGACTCATAACCAGCTGCAATTATTGTTCTATTTGTATTGGTATCAGTTCATGATTTGTCAAAGAGCGATTAAAGTGAGCCCTGTACTGTAATTCCTGGTTGTTTTTGTTAGAAAAATTACTTCTGCATGCTCGGGTCACGTCGGACGACGGCTTTTGAAACAAGCATACAATGCATCTTGCCAAGTTATAGTGACACTAGAGATTAAAAATATATTAAACTGGCTATTTGCTTCTGTTCGAACAGGAAAACAGCAATACAACTGCCCTTCAAAATCGACATATTACCGTACAAACTTTTAGACAAATATTTATTTATACTATGTAAAGAGAAAGTTTTTCATTGATTTTTTTGTTTTTTCTAAACATTCAAAACTGCACTACAAAAGTTTAGCCAAACATAATGGATTATTCCACGGATATATTTGTTGAACTGTTTTAACGAATGATTT